CTGCAGAGGCTGACGGAGCCAAGAGCAGCAGTGAGATGTCAGGCTGCTGGCTGCAGAGGCTGATGGATCCAGGATCAGCAGTGAGATGTCAGGCTGTCGGCTCACAGGGTGTGAAGGCAGCCCTCCCAAGATCAGCAGGTGACACAGCGGCCCACGGGTTCAAGTTCAGAGGACGAGGAGCCAGATGCAGGATGAAGATGGAGCAAAACGGCAGAGAGCTTTGGCAGAAGGTCTGTATATAATGGAAGCAAGCCACGCCCCCAAGGAAACGCCCTTTCCACGGATTGGCTGCTCACAGCAGCTCTGGTCATGGAGGTGGTTACATTGTATCAGATGTCATCCTGGGGGATGAGTAGTCATAATGCCAAACCCCTGAGAATCATGGCCCAGCCCGGTTGACACCCAGCCTTAACTATCACACAGGGTAATATTTTTGGGGATTCACCCAGCCTGTGTGGCTCCAGAAAATCTGTTGTCCCTGAGAATTTGAAGTTCTGTTCAAGAGCAGCGGTTTTTAACTGGGGGCCATTTTGCACCCCCATGTATTTGGGGTAGAGAGATGGACTCCACACTCTCCAATAACCCAACTCTTACCCAATAAAGACCCAGTGGATAGAGACCCTAAAACCAGCAAGGGGTTAATATCTAGACCAGGTTCTTAGCAGAGGCTGACTTTGTCCACCCCACCCCCCAAGGACTGCCAGAAAAATGAACAAATATGTCTCAGAGGAAATACAGACAACACTCCTTCAAAGCGAGCACGGCAGGACTTCATCTCACATGCTTTGGACATGCCGTCAGGATGGACCATTCCTGGAGAAGGACATCATGCTTGTTAGAGTAGGGAGTCATTGAAAAGAGGAAGACCTTCCACAGGATGGACTGACACAGTGGCTACAACCGTGGGCTCAAACACAGCAACGATTGTGAGGGTGGGTCAGGACCAGGCAGGGTTTCATTCTGTTGTGGGCAGGGTCACTATGTTGTTGTGTGATTGAGTCAGACGTGACTCACAGCGAGCCCTCCTTGGGTTTCTGAGGTGTGGTATCACTACAGAAGTAGATTACCCAACCTTCCTTCCAAGGAGTGGCTGGTGGGTTTGAACTGCCAGCCTTCTGGTTAGCAGTCAAGTGCCTTAGGCAGTATGTTACCAGAGCTCCTTGGGTCGCTACGAATGGGCAACTAGACAGACAATGCCGGGGGAGATTTGGCAGCACTGTGGGTAGGATGGACTCTCAGGCAAGCAACATCAAGAGGTGTTTTTAACTGTCTCAACTAAGGGTGCTGCTTACCACCCTACAATCCACAGGATGGTGGCAAATGTCAATGGCGATGAGGTTGGGATGCCCCTCCCACCCTGTAGAACTGGGGGAGGTACAGCATAGAGCTGAGAGGTGAGGGGCTGAGTGGGGGCCCGGTTGAGGATTCCAGAGAATCCGAAGGAGGGGCACTGGCCAGACCCCCAAGACTCACCCCTGGGAGGCAGGGACATGGAGCACAGAGGAGGAAGCTGGCCCCTGGCTGGAGCTGGGCCCTTGGCTCACTTGCAAATTGAAGCTGTAGGACCCACCTTCCAGTCTCTTTGTTTCCTGTTTGTCTCTGTTCCCGCTGTCCCTCCCCGTCCAGGACCCGCTCCCCGGCTGCGGCTGGCCAACGGCCCCCACGGCTGCGCGGGGCGGCTGGAGGTGTGGCACGAGGGACGCTGGGGGACCGTGTGTGACGACGCCTGGGACCTTCGCGACGCTGCTGTCGCCTGCAGGGAGCTGGGGTGCGGGGCTGCACTGGCTGCCCCCGGAGGTGCCTTCTTTGGTGAGGGGTCCGGGCCCATCCTCCTGGATGACCTTCGCTGTCGGGGCAACGAGACCGCCTTGAGGTTCTGTTCGGCGAGGGCCTGGGGCCAGCATGATTGTCACCACCGGGAGGACGCCGGGGCCGTGTGTGACGGTGAGTGACGGTGAGGGGGCACAGACCATGAGGGCAGGCCGTGGACCACGTCCCAACGCCTTTCACTCCGGCCCCCACCTCCTCCCATTCTCTCCTTCTCCATGAAACTTCATCTGCATCAGGGGTCCTCAATGCCCCATCCCCGCAGGACACGCAATACTTTGGGGGCTCATC